TGTTGAAGGTAAGGATGAACATTGATCAGTTTGAAGATGGTGAGATTATTCATGATCCTTTTAGCGTAGTGTTCCAAGGAAAGAACAAGAAGGGTAAGTTGACGAAGTTTATGTTCCAATTGAATAACATTGAGAGATACTCAAACTCTCATTTTTTGAATCTTTTAATCCACATCAATAATTACAAGAGGAACGACAATGAAGAAAAAGCAGAGATCCGAAAAATCATTCTTTGGTATATGGAGATTCGAAGGGAGCTGTTACAGGCAATGAAGATTATAACTTGATGTTTCAACTATTCTCACTAAGGGGGAGATTGTAGAGTCGAAAGTTGTAGTGAGATTCGAAAGTTATATCTTTAGCATTTGTGTCTGTAAATAACGAAAGATAAGTACTTTCATTATCTAATCTATTTACAAGGCATTTCAGGTTTCAATATGTATAGACTAGTCCTTGCATTTTTTGTATGTCTGATGTACCCTATAAATAGGGTAAGTAGTTAGGTCTAGAGGAAGAAACACTCTCTATTTATGCTCTTTGTACTCGAAAACCCTTTGTACTCATTCAGACTTTAATCGAAGCTAAACATATCATATTTAGATCTCGGTGTTCTTTATTGCTTTAATGTATTCTATTGATTCAAACATTGTTTCTAACACTCTTCAGGATATCTAAGATGAACTACAAAGAAAGAAACTAACACATTAACATATACCTTTCTATCAAGAAGAATCTACATAAACTAAATTATGCCTAAAGGTAACCAACTGATGACATTTACATTCCATACCCTAAATTGATCATACAATTGACAATGCAATGTACTGAAACAAGTATCGAGTTGTGAAACCAAGTGGATTCTAGCCTTCGAAATCAAGAATGGACATGAAACATTCAGTTTTGATACTGAAAATTAAACATGCACATGCAGGTCATGAAAAATTATTGGAATTTACCTTGTTTCCATGCAACTATAGCTATGATCTATGGGAATATAAGTGCATAATCATATATACCTAGGTGGTTTCCTATGGACATGTTTTTTAATGTTTGTAGATATAGTGTAATGCCATTAATGTGAGTTCCATGCGACCAACTACTAAGCAAATAACTATTTTGCCTCCAACAAATATGCCAAGGATACCAACCAATAAAAGGAAAATAGGTGTGTCATAAAGAGTAGATATTTTTTGGTCTTTGGTACCTCCAAGTCACCACTCCCTCATCAACGGGTTAAGAGGGGCTGGTTGTGTGGGTTTGATATGCGGCTTCTATAACCTGATTCCATCAATTTCAACCCATGCAATGACCACTTGTATATTATGATTCTATATTTGTTCCATAATAATTTTGTATGTTTTTAAATTAGTTTTATACGATTTTAATATTTTGTAAATTGGATATGTATGATTTTTATTTGTTAGTGTTTTTTTTTTAAATTACAAATTGAGTGAGTTAAGTGGTTTGGGAAATATGGAAGAGAGAAGAAAGAAAAGCTGATGTGGCAGTAGGTTAAATGGGTTGGAATTCGGAGTGGGGGGTTAATTCACGCGTGAGATCCTATGTGGCTGTAACATCCCAAAAATACAACCCAAAAATTTTTGTTTGAAAACTTTACTAAACCATAATATCAAATATTAAAAGATAAAATCATGAATCATGTGTCTCAAAATGTCATAATAAATTTATCAAATCGAAACTAGTGTCAAGATCATATCAAAATATCAGAGTCTAACTCCCAGGCTAAAACTGTGGTGTGTGCCATGCCATCATCCCGAGCCCTTCCCTTTGCTAGCTGAAGTACCTGAAACCAAAACTGAAACTGTAAGCAACGAAGCTTAGTGAGCTCCCCCAAACTACCACATATCATACAATAACATATAAACAACATACTGGGCCTTGCCCACTGCATCGGACCGAAGTCCGGAACTAACTAGGGCCTTGCCCACTGCATCGGACCGAAGTCCGGAACTGACTAGGGCCTTGCCCACTGCATCGGACCGAAGTCCGGAACTACTAGGGCCTTGCCCACTACATCAGACCGAAGTCCGGAACTAACTAGGGCCTTGCCCACTGCATTAGACCGAAGTCCGGAACTGACTGAACATAACATAACATAATCATAGCATATAATATGAACACATATACTTCATACTGCATCGGACCATAGTCTGGAACACATAACACATACCATGCCTGTATCACAAAGACACCAAGCATACTGAACTACTGCATCGGACCGTAGTCCGGAACTACTGCTAACTAAACGGGCCGGCATTGTGGCCGTAGACCCGTTCCTACTGGAAGGAAACTCACCTCGTAAGGCTGGCTGCTGAAATGCTCCTCGGGAACTGCCTGACTGCTGTTCCGGTAACTCCCCGGCTACATTTCCCAAAAGACACTTAATCAGACACTGATAACTAATCTTAGGGTAAAATGAATATTTTACCCCTGGTCAAAGCCAACAATCCGTTGACCTGACTCGCCGAGTTGGGCCGCCAACTCGTCGAGTCCCTATCTTTCCTTCTACTCCCCTTCCCGACTCTACTCGTCGAGTTTAGCGAAGACTCGACGAGTTCTCCTTCTATAATAACATCAAGTCGACCTTTATCTCACTCGCCGAGTCCTCCTTCATCATATGAACACGTCCAGTCTGTGACTCGCCGAGTTGTATGAACAACTCGTCGAGTCTGTTCTTTCGAGTAAGAAGGTTGCCTTGGACTCACCGAGTCAGGGCGTAGACTCGCTGAGTCCCTCTACACTCAGATCCATGTATTAACTCACTGAGTCTTTACTCCACTCACTAACGAACTCGCTACTACTGAACAGGGAATCTAAGACTCACGACCGGACTCGCCGAGTCCTTTGCATGCAGCTTCTTTTCAGCCGATTCTAAACAGTTTCAGTGCATCCAATTCATAGATCTGGGCTTCTGGGACAATCTGAACACGTAAAGTTGCTAACTTTACGTGTATCTATGATGCAATGAAGCAATAACACTCAAACTTGGCTATAACGGGGGTTACTTGTCTAGAACAAGGCCATGACTGCCAAAAGGTGGCCTTCTTGAGCTCCTGGAACTCAAGAGAGGCTAGATCCGAGATATGGCTTGATTACAAAGCTTCATCACTAGGGATTTGGGGTTTTTGAGCTCAAAACCATCAATTTGGGGACAAACTAGATCTAGCAATACAATAACCAAGATGAAAACTTTATTACCAGAAAGGATGGCCAAAGAGGAGTATAATCTGGATCTACTTCTTCTTCCTTGAGTTCTTCTACCTTCTCCTTCTTCTTCTTGCTCAACAATGCACCAAGATTCCTTCACAAGGGCAAAAATCACTCACACACACTTCTAGGAGGCTAGGGTTTCGGGAATAAGTCTCTGAGAGGTGAAGGAGGCTGGTTTGGGGCTATAATGGTGTTTAAATAGGGTACACTCCCTGAAAATTAGGGCTTCATCCAGACTGGCGGACTCGCCGAGTCCGGAACTATGGACTCGTCGAGTCGCCACGCCTACTCCACGTGCTAATTAGCTGCTACTCGACGAGTTAGGGCCACTGACTCGTCGAGTAGCTTCTAAAATAAAAGAAAAATAATGTTTTAAATGCATACCAGGAACGGGGCGTTACAGTGGCAAACCAACCCACGCGTGAACACCATCCTTGACTCCGGTGGGTTGGCTGTGAAGTGGTTGCCAAGGCGCATGAAGACGAGTAAGGTGATTGGGTAATGGTTATGACAGTTTCCATTTTCTCTCATTCTCTCTCTTCCTTTTTGCCCCTTTACTACCAACCCACCGGCGAACACCATTTACACAACCTAGTGGACTGATTGTGGAATGCTAAAATATCTTTGTGGCGTTGAGTTCGCTGGTGGTTTGGCTGTGACCACTCCCTACAGCCTTAGAGCATCTCAAATGATTAAGTTATTCTAAAACTTAAAGTTATTGACACCTTATCATACTATTAATTTTGACCTCTAAATAAATGACTTCTACAACAATTAAGTTCATTCTAATAGCTTTTCTTTTCTTTTTTTAATTATTTATTTAATAATAGATTTAACTAATTTATCCTCATCTACCTAAACTGTTTTATAAAACATTTCATTTAATTAATCCTTTTTTAAACACAAATTATATAAAATATAAAATACAATTATATTAAGTTTTATTTATATACTTAAAATATGAAAAATTATTTTGTTTTAGTTTTAAAAATACAATAAAAACATTGAAAATATTATATAATAGTTATAAAATAAAATATATTTAAAATGGAAAAGGTTAAATATACAACTTATGATATTATAAAAAAAGCCTTCATCGAGATGCTCTTAGTAAATTTCAATAGATCATACATGTTTTTCCCTTTCAAAATGAAAACAAAACCAAAATAGTTAAATAGATAAATATTCATGTAATAGATCAAAATTGTCACTTTAAATCTTATTTTCCCATAATAGTAAATAAACACATGATAAAACGATGTGTTAAAATGTGACTTGGATTTTAGTACACACACCATCAAAAACAAAGTGAATAAACTCGAATGACGATTTCAAATGGACCTCTTTTGTTATTTCAGGTTTTCATGTATATATGAGTTCAACCCAATAGTTATTAGGATTTTTTTTAATGGTTTTAAGTATTTGTAGTTAAGGATTCATAATCATGGACGTTACTCACATCGACCGAACCATGTTAACTTTCTATGTCATTTTTTCCCCTTCTTTGCTTGTTTGCTTACTTGCGTACTTGTGTTATTACTTGCTTACTTGCATAACACGATCCTTAGATTTTGTTGAAAGATTTCGATATAAAATCATATTATGTAATAGATAAAAGTTGTTACTTTTAATTAATTCCTAACCGGCCGGTTTACTCTTCCTGAATACGGAGAAGAAAATGTAGTAGTCATTCGGCGGTTCAACCACCACCAACATTTTCCCTATCCTTCTTCATTTTCCCCCCTCGATTTATGCTTTCATTTATATACCACACACAATCGCTATTTCACACGCTTTCCTCAAAAACCACTGCATGCCTTTTCGCCAGTTGGCTCATAAACCCACACATACAAATACTCTATAAAATATAGTTTCATTTTTCAATAATTAATATTCCAACCTCCATACCCACTTTCACCATAGCTTCAATCGACTTCGATTACTTCCACATTTCCTCTTTCGTTTTCTAATTCTCTGCAAGCTGCCATTTTTAGTATTTTTTACCACATGATATTTGCTTTGTAACTCTCGCCTAATCTTTTTCACCCTTATAAATCTATAAAGTTCATGTGGGTGGTGATCATGGAGGAGAGTTTTGCTTTCGTCTCTAATTTGGGTGTGATGGGAAAGACGACGACGGGATCTGTTCTTGGATTCATTGGGAAGTTCGTTAATGGCGTTTTGAGCTTTCTTGTGTTTTCTGTACTTGATGTTCTTGATGTAGTGTTGTGTTATGTTTACAAGATTATTGATTTCTTTATGGAAGATGAATGGAAGCCATGTTATTGTTCTTCACCGAAAGAAACTATCATTAATAGTGGTAACATTTTGGTGTCGGAGAAAGGTGAGGTGGAGAAGATCGTTTGTCTAACGTCGACAAAGTTGCACCTTGAAGAAATCTCCGACACCCTTTATTCCCGGCCGTCGTTGGCGGTGGAGGTGTCCAAGACGACGGTGAAACGTCGGAAGGTTGTGGTTACTTCTGTCAGTAAAACCAAAAGCGTCCAGTCACACTCGCCGCCGTTCATTGTGAACAACACCATTGTTGAGATGCTCCAAGAAAAGATCGGCCGACGTCACAAACCCCAGCGTGTTCCACGGTGGTCGGACTGCGATTGTGATACCTGTAACTCGTGGTCGCATTCTTCTTGTAAAGATACTCTTTTTGTTCATATCGGAGGACGAAAAGGTTCGTACTTGATTTCCATTTTCCATTTTCCATTTTCTAATATTTTCCATTTCAATCTTGATTTTCTAATTCGTTTGATTAGTGTTATGAACTTATGATCATCATGGCAGATAATGTTAGCGAGAATGTGTTGTTTATTCATGGGTTTATATCATCATCTGCATTTTGGACAGAGACATTGTTTCCAAACTTTTCGAGATCGATCAAATCAAAATACAGGTTATTCGCGATTGATCTTTTAGGGTTTGGGAAAAGCCCGAAGCCACATGATTCTCTTTACACCATGAAAGAGCATTTAGACATGATCGAAAGATCAGTTCTTGAACACAACAAAGTCGAATCGTTTCACATCGTCGCTCATTCTCTCGGTTGCATTCTTGCACTCGCACTCGCCGTTAAATACCCGAACTCCGTCAAGTCCCTCACCTTGCTCGCTCCGGTAATCATCAAAATCTTTCGTAAATTCTCAAGTTTTGATCATTTTGTTTAAAGTTTCATGGGTTATGGCAGCCATATTTTCCGACGCCGAAAGGGGAGGAGGCGACGCAGTATATGATGAGAAAGGTGGCGCCGCGGCAGGTGTGGCCGTTGATTGCTTTCGGAGCGTCGATGGCCGCCTGGTATGAGCATGTTAGCCGGACGATTTGCTTGTTGATCTGCCGGCAACACCGGACATGGGAATTTCTGGCGAAACTCATCACCAGAAACAGGTGAAAATTTTAACTTCTTCTTTGTTGACCGGATCCGCCGGTCAACACCACCGCTTTATTACACTGATCAATTTAGCTTTATGACAGCAGTCCGTCGTCATCACCAAATCTTACTTCTTAAATCCTTGAGTAATTAATTTTCAGAAAATATATAAATAAAAATAATAATAAATACTAGATTAAATTAGTAGTTGACAAAATTATAACAAATGATTTTCATGGTTGGTAGAAAATATCACTGTAAAAATTTTTGGTGAATTTTTAATATGATTGGTAATTTTCTTTTGTAAATTTTTGGTCCCTCTCTATATCTTATTTTTTCGTTTTGGTTCATTTTTCAAGTTTGGTTTTAATTTGAGATGTATGTAACCTTTTTGGACCATATTTCATAAACATGATTATATTTTGGGACAAAAATCAGTTATAATCAAATAGCAATTAATATTCGATTTATTTCAAATATGGACAAAGACGTTAAAAGTTATAAGACTAAAACTATAAAAAAAACTTGTGGGACCAAAATTATGAAAATTAGCTATAGACAAGGACCAAAAATGTAATATACTTTAAAATTAAATACATTTATACTTTCATTTTTTTCCTTTAATCGTCATAATATGCTTCAGCATCTAATAAATTGTTTGCAAAACTTCAAACGTGTCACAGGACGTATCTGATATTAATAAATGCCCTTTCATAGAAACGGTTAATTAAATTCGGTATTAAAAATTAAAATAGATTTTAAAAGGTTACATTTGTAGAATCTCTTAAATACCATAGACGTAAATGTTAAATAACATTTTGAAAATTCAGCAAGGCTACAGAAATTTATTATTGTTGTATTTTATCGAAAAATCATAAATATCATTAATGTAATTGTTTTTCTAACAGTTACAAATCTTAATTTTTTAAGATATATTAACTTGTGCACACAAAATGAAACCATTAATATATAGCTATTTAATGATTTAATGATAGGGCTACATGTTGATCAAAGCGTTGGGCTTAATTCATTAGATCAATGATGTTTTCGTTTGACTTGTATAATATTGTGACTTAGATTAAAAAGTAAAGTCACAAGTATAAATACCACTTGCTTGAATCGGTGTCAACGATTTAATGTTATTGCATGACTTGGTTTTATTTTTTTTATCAATTTAATAACTTTTTTTGACTTTTTTCAAAATAAAGTGTATAAGTATAATAGAGTATATTTTATGTTTGGTCTTTGGACCTATTTTCACAATTGTTTTGCTAAAAATATGGTTATTTTTTTGGAAAAGAAAAAAATGTAATAGAACTTTAAAAAAAAAGGAACCAGATATAAATAAATAAAAATTATAACTTCGAGAAAAGAAAAAATATAAAGACTAAAAAGGTTGGACCATGATTATAAATATAAATATAAACATATATAGTGAGGGCTCAAATGTATAGTTTACTCTATTTTGGGCTTAACCTGAAGAAATACTATATATGGATATGGTTAGAGACCGATTTTCAAAAGTTTAAAAAAATATATGTATTCACTACATTAATAATATGTTAATTCAAAATAAACTGTAACAATTGATTATTTGACAACCGGTATAATATTGTTTATTATGAAATTATAATAAACAGATTTATATATAAATAGTTATTTAAGTTATTATTTTTAGTGTAAACTAATGTTTATATGCCTGTTTTTTTGTTCCTTATTAGTAATTGTTATATAATATGTGTCCATACAGTTGGGGTAGAATTGACCATTCATCAACTTTTAACATTTATTTTCTTTTAATTTTATTTATCGCTTAGTTTAAATAAGTTTACCAAATTTATTAATAAAATAATTACTTCGCCTTAATCAAAAAACATAGGTTGATAAACTTTTGAATATATATTAAGTGAATTTAAACCCAATTTTTTAGTTTATGTTTTTGTATGGTTTATGTCTTTTTATTTCATATATATATATATATATATATATATATATATATATATATATATATATATATATATATATATTATATATATATTCAAACCTAACATTAATCACATTTGTTGCTCATATTTACTCCCACCTAGAGGGATATAGAATATTCAAAGGGACCAAAGCGTAGGCCACATGTTGTTGAGACTAATCCGTTTCTTCATGTGTTTTTGTTTTGAAGAAAATAATACTATTTTCTTTGTTATCATCGAACATTAAACAAATAAAATATTCCAAATTCAACAAGTTAGAAATTAATACGTTCAACTACAATCTCATGATCAGTATGTATTTGATTTTTTACACAGGATTAAGACATATTTGATAGATGGATTTTGTTGTCACACACATAATGCTGCATGGCACACCCTACACAACGTTATATGTGGTACAGCTGCAAAGATAGGAGGGTACTTAGATACAGTGCAAAACCAGTTGAATTGCAGTGTAAATGTGTTTCATGGTGAAGATGATGAACTTATTCCTGTTGAATGTAGCGACCATGTCAAGAACAAAGTTCCTAGAGCAACTGTTAAGGTAATAAAGAAGAAAGATCATCTCACCATTGTTGTTGGACGTCAAGAAGCCTTTGCTAGAGAACTTGAGCATATCTGGAAAAATGCAAAAACCAGATAGTGGTTTAGTTTGCCCAAACAGTTGATTTGATGGTTTATTTCTCAATTATATATCTTCATAGAAGAACAAACTAAAGGGTTTTAAACTCAAAATTAAGGCTATTTATGCCCATAAAAATAATGGATCGTGATCTATAGTTCCATCCAAATCAAGAAATGGATGAATCAATACTAGTAGTATATAATTTGGTTAGGTTTTTTTATTAATTATTGTTTGATGTATCGATCTCTTATTTTGGTTTTCAATCAAAGTTTGTTAATTTCAAGATACTCTTAGTTTTTATTATTCTCATTATTTTTTTATTTTATAACTTGGGCTCTTTGATATGCTTCTTATAGGTCTGTTAAGAGGTTAATTAAGTCTAATTTGTTCAAATTCACATTGTTTGATATTACAATTAGAACGTTCTAATTCGATCTTATAGTCTTTGATGTATTTTTACTATGTCTGATAAGAGATTAAATATGACTCAATTTGGTCTTGACTCGATGCAGCAACTTTTAAATAGTTTGTATGAAACATAATCTTTAATTAATTCTACTATAATTTACTGTGAAAATAAAACATTTTTATTATTATTATTAATATATATATATATATATATATATATATATATATATATATATATATATATATATTATTGTATTCAGTGTAGACTTTTAGATTTTTGATAGATATGAGATTTAATGAGCACAACCATATAGATGGTGATTCATCAATACTTCCTTAAATGTTTCTTTGCTTGCATTAATGTGTACTTTCATGCTATTTTAAGTTAGAAACAACTTTTTGGTCCAAATCGGGAAAGAGTTCTTGTTCAATTGATCCAATCTTTAATCTTCTTTCGGTTATCAAGATTTAAGGGAAATTTGAATTCAAAAGAATTGACAAAAAATAAAATGAAATTCAGTCACATTATTTTCTTTAGAATTCATTAAAAAAAGTTAGAATGTAAGTTATGTTAGAGAAAAATGTACTTGTGTTTATTAGGATAGTTTCGTTATTTAATAAAAAAATTTAACGACGAAATCTTTTAAATAATATATTAAATGGATTTTGAAGGAATTTTTTTTCTACTGGGTTGGCAACCAAACACACCATGTAAAAGAGTTCCGAGATTATATTTTCTTTCGGATTCTGCAAACCAAAATTCCTTTGTCAAATTTGTCAATTTGGATCAAAGTTGAGTTTTCACAATCTTTTTAGCTTTTTAGTTAAGATTGAGTTATTTATTTATTTATTTATAATTAAAAAATATTACCCAATTTAAAACATTATACGAAAAACAAAACAAACACACATACGTAATGTAAAGAACAAGACGAACAAAAAGTAACAAAATAAAAACCCAAGAAGGATATGAAGACGACACATGTGGTGGTGCCCAATATTAGGAGTGATGATGGTTTTGTTCCAAAGTAAGAGGCGCAGGCTTTAATGACCGCAAACTAAGTTGCATATTAATTATTTGAAAAGAAATTAAATTGACATATCTAAGTCGTCTATACTTCCAAGTGTAACACATCTATGGATTCATTTGGTTATTCAAATATCATATGAGAAGTCCCCCATCATAAACACAATTAATTTGTTGCATGACTTGTTCATACATTTATCTTTTCTTGTTTGATATCGACTTATGAAATGGAGGGGTATTCTACTTTAGTAGCACACTGTCCGCAATTTTGAAGTCATAATGGTCTAAATGCATATAACAAGGTCTCTATATGCAAATATTTGTAGAAAATATTCTTTTGGTATTTATATTGACATTGTGAGAACTAGATGAAAAAGTTATGTTCCTAAGAAAGTAAACATTATGATTTGGAGAGCTATTTTGGATTGGTTACCTACTAGAACGAATTTGTTAACAGGAATATCGATTTTGGTTCTAGTTATTGTTCTTCTTATGGGGTCTTTATTAAAAGGACTAGACATTTTTTCTTCTCTCGTGACATTGCTTTTCAGTTGTGAAATGTGTCGGTTGCTGGCTTGATCTATCTATACCTGATTTTGAACTGTTAAATTGTGCCTTTGTGAACCGCAGCGATGTCCGACTCCAAGGTTTTTCATAATGAATCTGTTATATAGAAAATTATTTTGTCTTCTTTGTAATTGTTTGGTTTTTGATCCGGCTTCTTTCTAGTCTCCTAATAATATTCTAACACTAAAAAAAGATTGACATTCTAAGAGTTTCTCTCCCATATTTTCATGTAACTTTTAGTTGTCATTTGTTCTTTCCTACTTGCTAGTTTAGTGTTTAATACATCCTTCGTTCTAAGAACAATTAGTGTACTTTATGAATCCATTTACATGTGTATAATATTTGAATGTGATGTGTATAATTTGCATATTTTTTTATGAGATTGTATTTGTTTATGTTTAAATAATGCACTTTATTAGTATGTGTTAACAAAATTTAAAATCCATGTCTATTTGTGTGAACAAAATCGTTTTATCAGTATTTGTAAAAACACTTGGTTTGGGTTTTCTTAAAAACAATAAAAATGAGAATAATGCAAAAATTAAGTTTGAATCATGGCAAACATGAAGTGAAGAAAATTTGAGATGAGGAACATAGAAATAAAAGCTCAAAAGTTCCATTATAAGATATAAATGGAAATAAATATTCTTGATAAAATATTAAATAAGTTAAGCTTTTTCAAAGGGAAATGATGAGAATTTTCATCATCGGTATTTGGTCTTTAAATAATGATGATGAGAAAGAAGTATTGATGAATTATGGAAATAGAAGGTGTTTGCATGTGTTTATTTATTTAAGTTTTCCTTCAATTGACGTTGAGGAATGTGTAAGAATAAGTTGTCTCTAAAAAGTATGTATAATAGAATATAAGAAGTATTTATTGGTGAAGGTATGGTGGTTGGTGAGAAAAAATGATTGTGAGGATGAATGAAAAGTGGCAAATAAATGTTCAATATTTGACCATTGATATTGAAAATATCATCCATTTGCTAAAATCAGCTTGTGGAACAATGTTCCCTTTAATGGAAAATTTCATTTCCGTTAAGGTTAAGGAAATTCTATTAAATAAGTTTCTTGTGAAATTTGACATTTGTTGTCTTTTTGATGACATGGAAGTAGAAGGCTTCTACTCCTCCTCGATAATGATCAACATTTCATCAAGATGAGCTTCTGGTCCTTGGTAACAATCAACATTCTCGGATAGACTTCTGGTTCTTGGTGTGCGGTCAACATCTCATTAGGATAGGCTTCTAGTCCTTGGTGAATGATCAACATCTCATCAGGATAGAATTTTGCTCCTTAATGAGCAATCAACATCTCATCAGTATAGGCTTCTAGTACCTATGGTACAAGCTTCTACTTATCGTAGTAGAAGTCTAATTTTTGGCCAGCTTGACAAATTTTTTCTTTAGGTATAGCTATTTTTTCAATTTTTTGAAACTTAAAACAACTCATGATATTTATTTGACATTTTCAAGCTATTTCATCTTTTTTTAGTGACAATCACATACATAGATATTGTTCAACATTCTTTGGTTTTATTATGTAGTAACAACTAGATTATAATACGCGTTAAACGCGGGGAACATATTAAAAAAATATAAAAACATTTATATATATTGCATAATTATAAAAGAAAGTTTATGGTTATTGTTATTATTGAAATGTGAAGAAGAAACACTGAAATCGATAAATATCTATAAACATTGCAGGACCTCTTTGTAGACAATGTTTTTTGTTTTATTAGTTGAACGACCTTCCTCGTCACATATGAGTACCTTCAAACCTTTTTTGCTTGTTACACGAGAAACAACTACATATAACTGACCATGGGTGAAGACAGGTCTACGCAAGTATAATCCAACATTTGATAATGACTGTCCTTGACTTTTGTTAATGGTCATAGCGAAACAAACTGCTATTGGGAATTGCCTACGTTGAAAACGGAATGGAAATTTTTTATCGGATGGGGTCAACTTCATACGAGGTATATAAGTAGTCTCGTTGAAAAATCTTATTTTGGGCTGGTTTTTTCTACAAAACTCCAAACGTGAAGTCTCAATCTTGATGTAGATATCTACTACAAACCGTTGTAGTAATCTCCCTCCCAACAAAATTACATTATAATTTGACCGGATTTGAAACTTATAACAATAGTACTCCCACATACTTACAATATTCCGCCCTCCTTTTGTATTAGAGTGCACACAATGTTGATGTCGTGAACAAAAAAAATTAATGATTTGTACAAACATGTAATCTTTGTTAATTTAACTAAAATTTAAAAATTTATGATGTGTGTACCTTCTAAATCATCCTCGATGTCTTCGTCGTCGTTAATAATATTATTGATGGGAAATCCATGTCTTGGGATATTAGAATGCCATCCAGACTCACCATTAGGAAAAAAATAAAGGATAACACAATGGATCATAACATCCCCAGTAAGATTGAATTGTTCGTGGTTATTCGGATCTGCCATACACGATAATACTTCGTTTATATGCGGCTATGTTGTCGTTACCTTCAATCCAAATACCAGCGACCTGGAATTTTTATTATGGAAACGATATAATTATATATGGTGTGTATTATATACATTTGTATGTCATACATGATATATTTTTTTTTATAATTAGTAGACAGTAATTATAATGGTACCTCGGATGTGGTCGGTCTGTTGTATACCCTTTGGTCATGTTCTACTGATGCATTCAAAGTGACTCTATAATTGTCAAGCGACCCCAGATCGGTTAGTCTTCGAAATATATTGCACGTATGGGTTTGTGGCAAGAACACGGATAAACTTTTGAGCAATTTGTTTATCAATATTCTTCCATTTAAGTCTATGTGACATCTCATAATCAACATCGTATGGGTTTGTGGCAAGTACCGAGGTTTTCCATCCCTTGGGATTAACTGATCGATTATATGATATATTCCTCCATTCACACAAAAAGTGTATACTCCAGATGTCATATTTGTCATTATTTTATCCACATCCACGCCTATTGATGCGAATGAAAAGTTCTTGTTGTATGCTCGTATCATGTGTCTAAAGGTCTTGCCTAATTCGTTTCGAGGTGTGAAGAGGTCGAGTAATTCTTCGGGAATAGAGGAATATGCCAACATTGTTTTACCATCCATGCAAATAAAGGATAAATAGTATAGGTTTGGGATAAATAAAAGGATAAGATTAATATATATATATATATATATATATATATATAT